GTCAACATAAATTGGGATATCCCTAATAAAGAGAGTTAAAAAAAAAATCAAAATTTATTTACACTGTTGGGGGCAGCACTTCGTCGTCATGCCGCATGCGTTTGCTGCATGCGCCACTTGGTCAAAAACAAATCTGCTTTGTTTTTGGCTTGACATGAAAGCGTTTCTGTGTAGACCAGCGTTCACTTGAAAATGGCGCACGTTAGCCGAGCTTAGCTTAGCTTAGTTCACCGTATTTTCCACACCAAAAGGCGCACTTGATTATGAGGCGCACCTTCAATGAATGGCCTATTTTGTAATTTTTTTTCCATACGTTGGGCATTATAAGACGCAAACTACAATGCATCCACTAGATGGAGCTACGCTCAAGGAAATGCCAACAGAACGATCAGATGTCAGTAAAACTTATTTCATAAAGCAAGCGACATTGTTCACCTAACCAACCGCAAGTTATAACATTGACTCGTTAACGGTGAACTCTCTTGCCGCTGCTCTCTTTCCGTCTTCAACTGCGTAACCGATCGCCTTACGTTTGAACTCTGCGTTGTCAGTATGTCTCCAGCAAGGAGACATTTTGGGGTCGAAATGTTACCACAATGACCATACACAAGGCACATCGGATTTTAAGGCGCGCTGTGAGCTTTGAAGAAAAGGGAAGGCTTTTAGGGGCGCCTTTTAGTGCGGAAAATACGGTAACAGATGACGTCAATTGTGACATCACAATGTGGCAAAATTCACAAGAGCGTGCTTACAGACGCTTGATGGAAAATAGGGAACTTATTCAAGATCGATGACTGCGCAGACACTCCAGACACCCAATTTTTGTATTCCAACAAAAAAAGTGATTTTACATGTACCCTCTGTAACGTGGAGTCATTTTCTGTACTGTACTTGCTGACATTTTAAACTCTACCTGGAGGCAAGTTCGACGAGCATTTTGCAAAAAAACTGCCTTCTCAATCTTTTCTTTTGTGTTTTTTGCAGGATGCTGTGAAAGCAGCCTAGCGCACGGTGAGACTTGGTCGACCGGCCGGGGGAGGAAGAGGAAGGCGGACGATGAAGGTTCGAAAATGTGTCCGATGATTGCATAATGACTTCACATGACAGCCACAAGCCCTTGGAA